AGGTGTATCTAGTATTAACCGGTTATCTTAATAGTCCAAGCACGATCCTCGCTGTTTATTTTCCTGCCTAAATGTTCACGAGAAATTCGGCAACGTAACTATAAAAAATGCGCTTACGTCACTTTTATGGTGTATTTTCCGAAGGTTTGTTCTTATTGTTGGTTTTATTCCCAGGCTTGTTGCATGGACATTGATCGGTTATTACTTTCTTAGTGATGGACTATGGACTGGCATGCACTAGTTTCCTCTTGTAACTCGCTAAAGTTGTTTCTAGGGCTGTCTGAAAACCCTATTGATCAGATTGACGAAGGCAAGTAGGAGAACTTCTCGAATAATGGTAATGATGATTATAGATCTTTTGTGAGGTTGAACTTGAATAAGTAGTCGAATTATCTACATAGTAAATAGTCAATTATTTGTCTTATATGATATTTAGATATATATATTATTAACTTCATTCTCACAGATGACACGACATGGTGCGGCAGTGGTAATGTACCGTGGCGGGCGCTAGCTCTAGGCGCAGCTGCGGGAGCCCTGGCGCTCCTGTCTGCGGCAGCTCTACACCGACGGTGCACGCCCAGGCTACTGCTGGCTGCCCGACATGCGCGGGCCAGGGCTCAACCCACGGCCCGGAGAGCACGAGGTCAGTATACTAAAGTTGAAGGCTGCTTTTATTTTGTTCTCTGAGCGTAAGTGGGTAAAGGTATGACAAATCTCTCAATAACTTCATAATAACGTCGAATAATATTCCATGCATGTGACCATTTTGATGTAGTTTAATGTAGATAGAAAATAAACCTCTTTTCCGTCTAACAATGGTGACTAACCAGTGTTATTATCGTGCTAGATACCATCGGAAAACTCAAAGTAACTATTAAAATTAAACGTTACAATCCACGTACATTTATAATTACGCTTGCGTCATTCTGACAAATTATTAAACTTAGTCTATTTGAAATTCGTCGAAGTCGAAAAAAGCAGTCTCGCTCGAGTTGAAATTCTGAGTATTTCTTCAGCACGAATAGTTTTACATGATGTAGGTATCAACAGTAAATTGTAAATAGACATGTACGCGTTAGTTTAGTTGACAGGCAGGACGCAATGTTGTAACAAATCGCGCAAAAAATGCACAAAAAACTATAATCACAAGTCACAAGTGTGCATTTTGATCCTCGGGTCTTGTAATGTTTCTAATCTAATTTAGATGGAATATTTTCTAATCAAACGCTTGTTATTTTTAAAACTTGTTTCATTTATCGATTTCGAGGAAAATATTTTTGGCTATTGAAAAAGAAAAAGAAATTGGTGTCAGTGGTACCTCGTTGTAGTTCAGCGATTATACCCCCGTACCTATTTGGATTAAAACTGGCTTATTTACTAATGTTTGTTACCAGGCAGTTAATAAACCATACCTACCTACTAATATTAGATATTATGCTTCTTTTAATTTATATTTAGGAATTGGCGCTATTTAGCTCAAGACTCATATGTAAATATTCCCTAATTCCTAATTTCCTAACTTCCAAAATATATAGTTTCGCTCTTATTGAAATTGGTGTTTATAAAAAATCCATTATTTTTCCTTCCAGTTTTAGAGAAAGAGTTCGACGTGTTGGTATGCTGGACAGCGGTGGACGGAGAGCTGGTTCGAGGGGCCTTACTGCCGACCCTCTCTTACAAATACAAGTACAGGGTACACGCCGTGCCGCTCTCCACACAACCTGATACCTGTAAGTATTTATTTGCTACCTAGTTCGTATTATGTCGTAGTATGCACTTCAAATAATACAGACGGATCACCTGATGATAAGCAATCGGTACCGCCTATGGATACCAGCGATACTAACACTAGAAAAAGGCATATGCATTTAACATTTGTAATGAAGATGCATGCAGCATTAGTATACCTCTTCAAGAAACAAAAGGCTGTACAAAAAGATAGATTTCCCATTTTAAGGTCGAATTTATGACGTCATGATGTATGGTTTGTATAGTGTTTCATACTATTTACGGTTCTATTGTTATCATAAAAATGTGTATTCAAGTTACCAGTTAAAACCCCCACTTGTGGAAGGTCAAAATAACTTCTCGTACCACATTATAGTGTTTACTTGCGTGTAAGTGCCACAAAAACTTGTAGCTAAGTGATCGCGAATTTTTCATAAACATGTTGTTTTTTATCGTCCGCGAAATATCTACCAGGAATCGATTAATGAAAAAGTGGTTATGACATGTGGTGTAAATGTGTGGATACTATTATTTACCTACACTATGATCTTGCAGAATTAATTGGTTAAGTTATTGTTGTCATGTGTTTTTTCTAATGAAAGGCACACCATTTTCATAAACTATTATCGTAGTATTTATTGGTTGTTCAAACTTAAAAGCATTTATTTCAAATAAACCATAATTTGCTTCTTTTGAAACGTCAACAAATATAAAACAAATAATAGTCGGTCAGTTTGTTCCCACTGAAGCTAGGTGCTCGTTCCAAAAAGTAGATTCAAGTGGAGAAGAACGAGCATGAAACTCCTTTCGTTACTCTTTATTTTTAAGTCCTTTGTAAATTCCAAGAATGTGCTTATAAGGACAAATTTTGGGTAATAAATAGAATTTAACCTATTTCACAATGTTTCCCAGGGTACAGTGAGCTGATAGGCGAGGCGTCTCGCTGTCGCTCGCTAGTGGCGGTGCTGTCGCCCGCGCAACACTCCCCGCAACAACTGCTCACTGCACTGCGACAACTGCGCGAGCTGCCACTGCCGCCTGTCGTTGTATTACTACAGGTATGTTACCTTATTTTTCTTTACATTATTTGATAGTAAATTGTGTATTTGGAATTATAAGTGTAAATTAACCATTTTATTAAACAATACTAGTACGAGTCAGATTTATGCACTAATAGGAAACATAATATTACCCCATTACTACAAAATTGCAGTCTGACTAATAGGACCTACTAATCAAATTCATTCTTCTCAAACAAATACAGAAATATCTGAAAATACAAAGCAAGTCAGTCGCGTGGGTAACAGTACAGTTTCTTAGAATATGCTTACTGAGATCATCATTTACGTTCGTAGGAAAATGAAGTAATGGAAAAAATGTTTCTCTATAATTACTACAAACTATTAATACACCATGGTAGTCTCACATAGAGAAGCTTCATACGTAATAAGTTTTTATTAGCATGGCACATATCTCGTAGCAGATGTTACTTTCCTAGAACTGCCTCCGTTCATTTTTTCACGAGCTTGCCAAATGAGTTTCCTATTGACTTTAAAACGCTTTGAAATAACAAATATCACTTTACTATTGTTATTGTTGTAGGTTCTTAGAATTTGATGAACAAGGCAAACTATCGCTTTGATTAGGAAGCTTCAATTTATAATGATTTTACGATATTAATAATAATAAAACTATGAGGTATACCAGAATCATGTCATTTGGCGTTCTATTCTACTCCAATATGGTCACGCCTAGCGAAAGTCAGATGTATATGTATGTATGTAAAATTGTTTTTGTTGCCAGGATCTGCCGAAACTAAAACGTGAGGCGAAGGAAGGCGGCGAGAGCCTGGTGTCGATGCTGCGCGGCACGCGGCTGGTGGCGTGGCGCCACGTGCACGAGCGCGCCTTCTGGACGGCGCTGCGCCTCGCGCTGCCGCTGCCGCCCGCGCCAGATGTACGTACTCGATACTGAGGTACCACCCGCTCTACACCCACACTGACCGCTAGCCTTGCACCACTTCTGAACCTTCGACACACATCTGTTTACGTTGCAAGAGCAGCAGGATTTTAGTCCAGCGATGTTTTTGGTCGTATACTGCGCGACTAAAGTTCATGCGACTTTTCGAGTGACCTTTGCAACGTAAAAACACCCTATACATTTCTATATTTCCTTTTCCCATTTTATAAAATAATCATAACTCAAAATTGGTGCAAAACTATAGTTCAGTGTATTTTGCACCATTCGCGTTAATCGGGACAGGTTACTAACAATTTTTCTAATTACAGACGAAACCAAATCCAGCTGAGACGGAGGAGAACAAATACTCTCGGTCGGGGAGCCTGACTGCGCTGGTGTAGAGTGCGAGTGAGTGAGTGACTGAGTGCCGGACACTCCCGCGACCCCGCACTGACAATTTATTCGTATGAAGACTGTGAGTAGTTATAGTTAATTGTAATATCCAATATCACATTACGGTAATTAGGATCTAAGTACATTTGAAACCTGTATACAGTTTTCTAAGATCTCAGTGTCTTTCCTTCGTCTGATTACTCTAACATCTTATTTTTCCATATCTCACGTGCCAATGGAAAAGCTATCATGACAATTTATTTTAAGTTTGCGGTTGTATTCCACTATTTATTTTATTTATCTTTCGTATTTTGTTTGTATTCCTTCCTTCAAGTATTATTGCGGCGGCTGGACGCCGTGGTAGGTTGTGTCGTCAGCTGAGACGGCTCGTAGTGTAGAACAATAAAATGTTAATTTATCTTCTTATATAATTGTAGTAATTTATGTTGTTTGGAAACAGCGGAGTGTAGTGTTGCGATGATTCAGGGTTCTGTGATATCGAAGTGAAGTGTGGCTATTGTAAAGAGGCGGTAGTTTATAAAAACCATGTGAAACCAAAACATTGTTTAGACTGTAGAAGACGACGTAAGCTTGGTGTTTGTACACTGCTGGCTCTTTCTGATCTTGTTTTTTACATTTTTATTGTAGTGTATTGTTGTAAGTACTGCTGATGTAAATATTATTATAGAACGAGAGTATTTTTACATAATTTGTTTAGTTGTACGAGGAAGCTTAGCAGGTTACTGTTAATGTAAACTTTAGTATTATAGTTTAAACGATACATTCCGTAAATATATGATTATGTTTGTGTTAAGTTCCCTTAAACCGACGCTGGAGTTTCGATGCGAAACTTCCTTCAATAAGAATCTATTTTCTTATCTGAAATGTTGTATGTAAATAAATAAAAACAAATGCTATTGATACGTAAAAACTGTTTTATTTATGTTGCAATAAACCAACAATATTAACAAGTTCTTACTTTACTTACATAACACGTTTAATGGCGTACTTTACGTTTCACTAATTCATCACATTCAAATTAAGGATAATAACGTTCAAAATAATAAAATAAAACCTACGTGATTTACAATAAAAGTTCTCAAAATTAAGCACTAATGTGTCGATACTTTAAGTACCTTAAGTATATAAGTTCACAAGGTTGATTTCGAAGTAAGTACAGAGCTCGCCACGTGTGACGTCATCAGTCCCTAACACTTACATTAAGTACAAGATCGCATATACAGCACCTCGCACCTCATTGTTAAAGCTCGAAACGTTATTGGACCGTTAATTTGTTAAATTATCTATCTATGTATAATGGTATTCGAGATTACATTTGGCATTGTATGCAAACATGTTCACAAATAGTTCAGTGACCCGAACACACCTGTATGCAATTTGTTACAATCTAAAGTAAACTTGTAAATCTCACTTGTCGTTTATAAAAACATATTAGTAAACTAAGTAGTCACATAAAATTAAAACATACCCTTAAAAATATTTCACTTCATAAAAATACCTAATACAGTTTGTGACGCTCAGTTAGTTCAACACTTCCAATCCTAAATAGCTCTCCACTAAAAACAACTTTATTGTAAAACATTTTAATCCAAGTGCTATCGAGTTATGTTACAATTAACTTGCAATTTGTAATAGCTCCGCACACTAACCGCTGCAATTACGGCATAATTCGTGAGGGGCCTTAAGTACATGTCGTAAAAAAACGTTTCACGTTACTAATTACTGCAAATATTCATACTCGGAACCATTCTTCATTAATAACTCGTTGAGAAATACCGTTATAAAAAGTCGAGTGCAGTTACAACTCATAATACCGTGAAATATTTGTGTATATTCGCGCGAGCCGGTGCAGTTATGCTGCGTGGCCGCGCCGCGCATTAGCCGTGGAAGTGTTGGACTACAATATTTTACAAATTAAAAGTAATCATTTCACTTAATGGGAAATAACCGTGATGTTACATCGCATGCGCCCACCACGCACAACATCACCAGATCCTTTGTACAATATCTCGATTGTAGGAACAATTAATTCATAGCCTAGGATTAACGATTAACATTATCAATCTGATGTACTCGCCGGTAGCTGCCCCATTTTAGACTCGTACGCCTGGGAAATGAATTAATACCTCATTAGTAAACTGGTCTTAAAAAGGGCATCCCATCTGTCATACATTCTCATTAATTAATAACAGTGGGGATAAAAACCGTGTAATGAGGAAAAAACATGTAGTTACCTGTTTGGCGACTCTACTGAGTGTTTCAGCCATGCCGCGGCCGGTCTGGTCGACCATGCCGCGCAGGATACCGTCCGCGTTCTGTAGCAACATGTGCGGGTGATCGAACTCCACCATACGACCCGCGTCCATCACTAACACCTGTATATACACATTATTTATTACTATCGCAAGTATTTAATGTGTATGTGCAAAGAAACATCCAAAAATGTTCAATAATTAGGATAAATAATACTGAAAGTAACATAATACACAAATAGCATAAAATGTCTATAAATATGCTAAATTCATTTTATTGATACGTCGCACATAGTGGGCATGCATTCTACATATGTAACAACTAAGAAGTATGTGCACTATGTATAAAAGTTTCGTGTTAAACCTTGTCGGAATCCATGACGGTGTGTAGTCGATGGGCGATGGTGAGCACGGTGCATTCCGCGAATTTACTTCTTATTGTAGACTGTATGAGCGCGTCAGTCCTGGAATACAGAAAATATTTATGACTTTCCTTTACAGCTCTTTAATTCCAGTTATGTTGTGAATTTATAATTCTCGCGTAGTTTAAATATGGAGGAATGTTAATTGTTTGCCGTTTAATTACATAAAAAACTGTACTTGACTAAAGGGGATAAAATATTGATGCTCTTTTTGAGTTGTACATACAGTTTTTTTTGTCATAATTGGTGGTTTGGTATGTCTTGAACGGTAAATCTATTACTGTATTCTAAACCCAAACCATGGTACATCATCATCCTCATCCTCAACAGCCTATAACCAACCATAGTACAGAATAAACAAAATAATACTGTGTTTTTATAATAACTATCGTGAGACATACTAAATTAAGTAAAATCGCGGCTTACTCACGTGAATATTCTGAGAAAAGCTCTACTAGTTTCGAACCACAGAGGGGTTCTTCCTCATGAGCAGCGTGCGCGGTCGCGGCGACGTCGCGCAGCCCACTGAGAGCTTTTCTCAGTATATACACGTAAGTAACCCGCGATTTTACTTAAAATAATACTGTTTCAATGGACTCATTGGAAAAGATGAATACATAATAATTATGTTGCTCTTACTCAGACTAGAGTAAGTCTAACACGATTCAAAGAAAAATATTTGTCAAAATATCTAAGAATATGGTAAATGCGAACAAGTTCGTGTGACATAATAAGAGTATGTAATACTGACTGTGGGTCTACGTTGGCGGTGGCCTCGTCCAGCACGAGCAGCCTGTTCCTGCGCACGATGGCGCGCGCCAGACACACGAGCTGTCGCTGGCCGACCGAGAAGTTCCCGCCGCCCTCCGACATACGCGACGACAGGCCCGCCGGCAGCTCCGTCACCGCTTCCTTTAACTCAACCTACAAAGTAAAATAGAAATCAAAGGTTGATTTTTAATTCGTGAATAAACATGGATCGCGTAGGAATTCTGTGAGTAAAAATTTCATTTTGTTTGGTAAGTCAACCCCTTATACCTGCCGCATGGAAATTCCACAAACGTAGATCATCCGTGACCTACGTGGTTATTACTGTTCATTATTATGTATATTGTTCTACGATACGATCTTGAATATGTAATATCACTACATAGTATAAAACAAAGTCGCTATGCGCCTTCTGTCTGTCCTTATGTATGCTTAGAAGCCGGGGTGGGTCGCTAGTTGTAGATAAAATACGAAACATAAAGAACAAGACTAAAATAAAAAGGAAACAAATAAAAAAAACATGTAGATTACCTCTTCGAGTGCCCTCCATAGTACTTGGTCGGGGTATTCATCGAATGGGTCGAGGTTGTGTCGCATGGTGCCGGAGAACAGTACGGGCTCCTGCGGTATGATGGACAGTTGACTGCGGAGCTCGTGTAGACCTAGCTGGGACGTCTCGCGACCATCGATTATTATCTCGCCTTCTATCGTTGCTAACCTGGTGGGGAAATGGTAATTAATTGGTTAGCCTATTTGAAAGTTACAATAAACTTTATTATTGTAGTGTAAAGCGTATGCATAATCGTAACAGAAAGTGGACGCCATACCTAGGCAGTGAAGTTCACAACTGCAGTTATGGTACTGTATCAAATGTTCATAACTATAACGTACCTAAAGAGTGCATTTATAAGTGAAGATTTTCCTGCACCAGTACGTCCGACGATGCCGACTTTCTCCTTGGGCTGCACTACGAAGCTGAGATCATTAAGTACGGCCGGCTCCGACGGCGCGTAGTATAGGAACACATGTTTGAACTCTATGCGCCCCGCCTCCGGCCAAGATGGCGGTGGTTTCTTATCCGGCTCTGATTGGAGGGGAGGTTCCGATTCGATGTTCGAATATTCTTGTATTCTGAAAAGAAAAAACATTGTTAAAGAAGATAAGTTTTTCTTGAATAAATAAGACAATAACTTTTTTACTGCTATTTCATGCTATAAGACCAGCCTGTAAACAAACCCCAATTTATCATCGTATGTCACATTCTGTATGTTCAAACGAAGTTACCTTTCCACACTGGTCATTTGATTCTCCAGCTCGGTGGACTGTCGCATGCCCCACTGGAACATTCCCGTCAGACCCATAGCTTGCGTGATGGCTAGACCCACGTTACCACCGTACTCGTCTGTAGGAGAAAATACAAGTATTATAACTCACGTACTCCAGTACATTTTTTTTATGACCTAGTCAAGGTTTCTTAGGTAAATGGTTCACATTATCAAAAAATGGATATAGTATCAGAGATACAAAACTGCCAAAGCTATTAAGATTATATAAATCGCGGTTGAGCTTTGTATTTGTTTAGTCACTTACCTTGTCCAAAAACAAGGAAACTGAGCGTGACCATAGCTATGTAGACCACACACACGAGGTCCAACCAGAAACCGAAAGCTCTGGAGCTAGCAATGAACAGGTACCTGAAACAAATACAAACTATTTAGTAGTCGCACTAAGGTAAAGATTTCAATATTAGTATCTTAGTTTAGCTAAGTAAGGAAATAGATCTTTGTTGTATGGCTTTAATCATGTACTGATTTGTGGGTATCTTTAAAACTAAACAATAAACATGTATCATTTTATGACCTTATTTACTAACTATCAAGTGAAACAAGTGAATTTATTTCTGCAAATAGGCTACAAAGCAGCACTTTTACACGTCAATTTTATCAAGCGAACGATGAGGTCGACATTTCCTAACTGACTACTCTGAGAAGAAATGCCGAAACAAACTCAGAGGTCTGTCTCTTTTATCGTCCATCAATACACCGACCGTCAGTCGGTACCCTAAATATTTTCATACAAAATTAAGTCCCGACCGATAGTCAAGTTAAAAAAAGAAATGCAGTAAATGAGGTACAATTAAATATTAGACAGTCAAGCATATTTTAGTACATATGTAAAAAAATATTATTTAAATGACATATGAACAAATAATACGATACTCACCAAGCCGAGCTGTGTAGATCCTGATGGTTGTCAAACTCGCGTATGAGTGCTTCCTGAGCCCCGAAAGCGCGGATAGTAGTGATACCTTGTAGCGACGCGTTGAGGTGAGAGAATACCGGACTGCGAGCTGTTGGAGATATCACTCACTGTATTATATTCATAGCTAAAAAAATATAATTTCATTCCCCTCATATGTAAGAAATACATAAACGTTTGTGTGTGTGTGTGTGTGTGTGTGTGTATGTGTGTGTGTGTGTGTATGTGTGTGTGTGTGTGTATGTGTGTGTGTGTGTGTGTGTGCGTGTGCGTGTGTAATATTCTAATTTTGCCAGTTTTATAGGTAACAGAGCTTGGTGTGATGATAATGAATGATTATGATGATGAAAGTGAAAAGAAAAAAATTACAATAAGATTAAACAAGATTAACAACAATTATTTAATGGAAAGGTTAAATGACAAAATGCAATCTACAGTGTAATTTCTACAAAAGAGTTCACGTTATTGGACTGGTACAATCATTGAGAATAAGTTTGAATTGAGAAAGTTAATTTTTATATTTCAATTTTGATCCTTAAGTTCACCAACCTACTGTCTAGAGATGATGATGTAATAGTACACTGTATCATAAATGGCGTCAACAAGATGTGACATGAACAAACTAACCTAACTTTAATATTAGTCTAAAAGTCTATATCTAAATCTTTCTACATGTAAAGAAATGGTCGTAGATTAGTCTAAATCTAAAGAAATGGTCGCATTATGCGTCAGAGATGACTCACTCACACCCTCGAGGCGCTTGATGCTGCGCGAGGAGGAGAGGTAGAATATCCTCAGCCCGTAGAACACGAACCCGATGGCCACCGTCGGCACCAACAGCCAGTAGTTCACTATGGCCACCACCACTACGATACCGATTAGAGAGAGACCGATCTGAAAGTAAAAGGGACATTTTGTTTTAAAATTTTTATTAAAGTTTGTCTCGATTGACAATATTATAGGTTAGAAGTAAGGGGAAGGTAATTTCACCTGATAAGATTGTACAGATAAATCTATATAACTTATATGGTATATAAAATGGTTTCTAAAAATGTAACATTAGCTCATCGAAATTAATTTTTACAACATTTAAATTTATTTTCGTAACAGTGATGAAAATAACGTTAATATGATATCTGCAACAATTTATTAACAAAACAAAATATCTTACAAGTACTACAAAGAGCACTTTATTATTATTATTTCAAACTTATAACAAAATATACCTGCAAAACATCTAACAGCGCAGACGGTAGGACTTCATCAACGGCTCCCATGTCCTTGGAGAACCGGTTGAGGATCCGACCGGAGGGGTTGACGTGGAAGAACCGCATCGGGGCGCGTGTGATGGACGAGAACATGTTGTTGTGCAGCCGGGTCGACGCCCGCATCGCCATCGAGAAGAACATGAACGAACGGAGCAGTGATACCACCACTAGGGCTATCACCATGCCTGGGAATAAATTTAAATGAGAAAAATTGGCTTATAAAGTTGCCGTGGCCAATAAGAAATTGGGCAACACAGTGATCCACCTCCAACCATGTCCTCTCCAGCCGCTCATGCACGGAAGGGAAGAACTGATTAAGGTGGCCCTTGACAGAAGATTCCCATCTGCACTGCCATTCTGTTATAAGTTCACCCCAGACGTCCGTTAATGGCTTAAACAATCTTTGTTTGTTCATGTTGTTTATTTTGTCTACATAGTAAAGTGGAGGTTATTCTATCACACCAAATACACTTTGCAATAAAATTTGCACAGAGGACACTTGGTAGTTTATTTTTTTTAAGAAATGAATGGCAAATGGATGTCCCCAACATCAGAGGATAGTTTTTTTTTAAATAGAAGTACGCTCTTTTCTTCATGATACAGTTTTGAAATATCACTGCAATGTTGTGTTTTAAAGAGAATTGAGAAACATGATTGCATTGTATTACATTGAAATATTGTAAAAATCTTACCAGTATAAATATAGATACAATCGTATCGACTGAGACCCGCAGAATCGTAATACGCGTTCTGCACGAGACTTTCAGTGAAGTTGTTCACCGAGCGTAGTGCCATTGTAGAGTTCAAGTTCGTTTCCTGTACACTTGCCATATTCTGCACCGGGTGTGACTCTTCGAGATTCACCCTGTAATAAAAAGTACGTGTTAATATTGTCGAATTGAATGAACCCTTCCAACCTGATTGCGGTCCTCCGCAATATCTTTCTAGAGATTGTCAGACTCTTACTGACTAAAAACCACCCGTGCCAACTTCTGCGTCGAGCTGAAGCCATAGCAACTTCTTACGCTTTTCCGCAACTCAATAATAACTACTTGAGTGTAATTTGTAAGTGAAATAAACGTCTTGAGAAAGTTTAAAAAACTTGGCGTCCTATTTTCGCTGCCTACCCCAATGGGGGACAAGTCTGACGATATGTATGTATGTAAAGTTCATATAACTTACCAGTAACTAGTCCACCAGTCGGAGGCCGAGCCGAGTAGCTGAGCGAGCGTGGCCACCATCAACATGAGTAGTACGAGCGCTCCGTTCCCGGCGGCGCGCAGGTAGGCGGCGTACACGCGCCCGCCCACCGCGCCCGCACTGCGCGTCTCCGCCTCGCCCGCCGGCGGCGCCGTCGCCGTCAGATTGTCTACTGAACTCACCTGCACGCACCAAGATAATACATTGCATTATAAAGTCTATCAAAAGCATCGAAATGTAAGATAAGTTTATTGTCCAAAATGTTTGCCGATTCTTTACGTGGGAGACCCATGCTTCCGTACGAATGGTCCCGCTCGACCGGACTGAAACCACGGCTTCACAGAAAACAAGTGTGAAACAAGGCTTGCATTGTGTTTCGTCGTTTGAGTGAGGTTACCGAATCGAATACCCAATTCTCCAATAAAAATCAATGCTCCCAAAAGGCCGGCAATGCAATTCTAGCGCCTGTAGGCTTTCGGATATTCATGGGCAGCGTCGATTGCTTACCATCAGCTCGTGTGTCGAGTCATAAAACAAAAAAGTTTTGTAACCCTTTATTTGTACACGATAACCATAAAAGTATCTTACCGAATGTATGCTCATCTGTCGCTTACGGAAGCTGCCTTGTAACACAGACTCCGCGTCAGTTTCGGCCGCGTTCGGGTCCGGCGTCGGTTTCTCCTCCTCCTGGTCGCGAGCTAATAATGTTGCGAAGTCCAAACCCGAAGCACTTAATGTATCGAAATTACCCGCCGCCGCTATCGTACCGTTTTTGAGGATTATTATCTGTTGAAAGAAACATGAAAACGATTTTAGTTTTCCGTTAGTAATAAATTACGCAATTTTCAATATGAAACTCTGAGCAAACTAGTCGAACAGAAAGGTAAAAAATAGTATAACTATAACCACTATTTAAATTAAGAAAATATAATATTGAGTTAAAAACTGGCTTATAATATTAAACTATACACAGTTTAATTCAAAGAGGTAATTTCCTGAACACCATGTTTTCTTTTATCAATTTTTCGAGGATGTTCGATTAGTTTCAAGCAACACCAAGGCTCATAATCATGGCCATGATAAGATACGAGATTAAGAATATGGTGAGAAGATCACAGGGCGTAAGCCTTTTCTTACCTGATCGACGTCTCTGAGGAACTGCAGTTGATGTGTGACGAGTATCCTGGTGGTGTTGCGAAGGTATCCAATGAGACAGGACTCGAACAAGTGTCGGCCCACGTGGGCGTCCACTGCTGATAGTGGGTCGTCCAGTAGGTAGATATCTGCTCGCTTGTACACTGCACGGGCCAGGGATATGCGGGCACGTTGTCCTGATAAAAAGGTGAGGAGTTCGTTAATTTTATGTGTTACGATGAAAAATATAATATTACTATTTATAATACCATATAAATATTTATAATACCAAGATTAATAGAATAAAAGTTGTAAGAGGAATTTATAGTGACAATTAGTGATTAAAGAAATGTCAACTGTATATTCTTTTGTGTCTAAGTCGATTTTACTATGACAAACCATCACAAATCTAATAATTTCTAATTATAAGTTTGAAATCACCAAACCCGCATTGAGCAAGCGTGGTGATTAATGCTCAAACCTTCTCCGGGTGAGAAGAGGCTTTGCTCAGCAGTGGGCATTTATAGGCTGTTGATAAGATGATGATGATGATGATGATGATAACATATATTTGCTTACCTCCACTGAGACTAACGCCCCTCTCACCGACGATGGTCTTGTCTCCGTGTGGGAAGAGGGCGAAGTCTCGATCGAGGGCGCAGCGCCGCACTACTGTGTTGTAGCGAGGACGGTCCATCGGTTGTCCAAACAAAATGTTCTGACGTACGCTGCCTGGGGAAAATATAAGATGTTATATGTTGAAGACATATCTAATGAACTAAAATCTAAATGATTCTATGTTATAGCAAAAAGCACGGCAGACAAATTACTATTGGGTCCGGAAATCAGCTAGTAACATGCTTTTGTCCGACCATTGGCCTAACCAAAGACGTATCTGCAAATGTAGGTCTCGCAGTAAATGTTTTTCAAAATGATTATACATATCGAATGTGCAGTTATTGTTATATTATTTCATATTAGAATGAAACTATGAAAAAGTATTTACCTGCAAATAGCCATGGTTCCTGGCTGGCGTAGGAGACGTCACCACCGACATGTACCGTGCCGGACAATAAAGGAAGCTCGCGTAGTAACACATGTAGCAAGGATGACTTCCCAGCGCCTACTGGACCGATCACCGCAATTATTCTGGAAAAAAATCGATTTGATTAAAATATCTTTTTAATTTCCGCGATTGGAGTGTGAAAATGATTAACTTAAAACCAACAACAACTGCAACTTAACAGTTTGACTGCTGACAGAAAACTGTTGAAGGTAGCCTCCGCTATCGTGGCCCATACTGTGTCCCCCATGGCGTTCAAGGTGTTAAAATCCACACTATATAGTTCATTTTCTATAACTCAGACTACTTACTTGCCAGGTTTGATAGTGAGTGAGAGGTCAGTGAGTGTATTCTCGGGGTGAGTGTCGATCCACTTGGCGGTGGCGTGCTTGAGGCGCACGCCGCGCGCGTCGGCCTCCACGCGCGCGCCCAGCTCGTGCTCGTCCTCCGAGCCTGCCTCTATGGGAGCCAGTGTCGCATTACCTGCCACGGAATAGAGGTTGTTATCGCTTGAATATTTAAAGAAAGACCATTAAAGAATCAACTTGCACGGTTCTCGCACATTATACATTCAGTGTGGACTTTAAAAGAGAGACAATGACCTCTGAGTTTGTTTCGACGTTTTTCTCAGAGTAGTCAGGTAGGAAATGCCGGACGAAGAAACAAACCGGCGCGTCGACACGTTATACAGCAGTTGCGGAAAATATATTGGCACAAAAATAGCGTAAAGTTATGATTTTGATACCTAGATCCTAGTGAAACCCAGACTATTTTTAGTTTTTCGATTATTATTTTTATTAACTTTGAGTAAATCACATTGAACTTTTTAATTCTAACAATTTTTTTATGATGTTCCTTCTTCTAATAGTAATGAAAGCTCTCACCATTGCCCTTAGCCTCCTCTTCTTTCGTAGGTTCCGAACTTTCCGTGGCCTGTTTGGTCTCAGTATACTGTGCCTTCACTTTGTCTTCAGCTTCAGCCTTGCGACGTTCCTTAGGTTTAGTAGATGTTTGTATCTCTGCTAAACCAGGGACCGGTTTGCTCGTGTCTTCGTATAGCATGAAGTTCTGAAGCCGCTTTATTGATATCGTTGCTTCTGCTACTTGTGCAATACCTGATAAATTTTTTTTTTTTATTAAAGTGTTTTTTTTTTAGTAAATCGTAGTCAAAACTGATACTTGTAGCCTTGTGTGAAAGTATATTTTTGAAAATCCTCAATTATGTTCGTATGTATGTATGTATGAAACTACCCCTTATCTGGTTTCTTACAAATATTTCCATCCAAAGCTTGTCTGGAAGAAATCACCATTGTGTGATAAGACCGCCCATTGTACGCATATTTACTTGAATTGTTTGTTTTAAGCTATATAAATGTGTACAATAAAGCATATATAAATAAATAAATAAATAAATAAATATGTTGTATCTGGATTCAAGAATGCGGGTAAACAGTATAGAAAGATGCATTTGAGAGATATTTTTTCAAGCAGATAAATCGCGATACTTTTCCAGTTTTGCATAATAATATATAATAATGAACCATAAGGTGTATTTGATAAAGTTGTTAATTACACTTTACATGAGTTATTCTCGTCTATAATAAAGTCTTCAGCTGTATAGCCACAATAAAAATTGAAAATATACGCTACCGCACACAACATACAGTTGCATTTTCTTCAACACACTACAGATCCACTAAATATGCTTAACTACACAAACATCTTACCTTGTGGAAAGAACACGGTCATAGTCTGTCTTAGTATGTTGTAGAAACTGGTGACGACGAAGACCTGCTTCGCACTGATCACATTGTAGGCCAGAACGTACGCGAGGATGGAACAGAACAGACAGATGCGTGTCGTGAACATTATGAACGAAGTCAGCACTCCACGGATGTATGACGTCGCGCGGATCTGCTTTATTTCTCGTCTGGAAACGAAAATTATGCATTTTAGTGTTGAACAAGAGATAGAGGGTAAGTGTGGGTATGGAGATAAGAGTATAGAGATACATGGGGAATAAAATATTACATCACAAGAGGGGGAGTCGATAAAGCAATTTAAACTACTAAGCATGTGGTTTATGTGTTGGATCACGTATCGTATGTATTTTCAAAGTTAAGTTCACACCTATAACAATTAATTTCGTACATTATTTGAAACAGAATGCCGAGTTTATTTTGAGTTTTCGTACAAATAATAAGGTACAGGAAATATCCGAGTAAATTCCCGCTAATAAAGTCTATACACTAAAAACAAAGATTTACAAGAACACTAGTCAGGAAAAGATTATAGAAATTTAAAGAAACGAAACAAGAGGTCTATTTAACATAACAACACGATTATGAGGTTCTTAAAAGTTGAGTAATTATGTTTAGATGACAAAAGGCCATGTTTTATGCTTATATGCAAACAAAAGATTGACGCACGGAGAAAATGAGATATAGAATTAAAATGAATATTAATGCATAACAATATTTCTGAAGGTTTGTTCAAGTATGTTACCAAGAAATAATTATAAAATAGTTGTTCATCATACTACATGCACTAAACTATTAATGAATGATTTATGAGGACAGCTTTGTGTATAATTAATCTATTAAGGTATTCTGTAAATAGGAAGAATCGAGGTCAAAAAATAATAATTTAACCAATGGGATATCCCGTTGATCGATCAATTCAATCCCTTTCTAAGAAGTTGGTTTTGAGATCACACCTATATTGATTTGTTACAACTTACAACTGTTACTTTGGTTTGTACAATAGTGTATGCTAGAATGTATAATATATTATGTGAGTAATACTTACTTCCTAGCCTTGGCGACAAGGTCAGCAAATGGCTTTTCCCAAGTGTACATTTTGATGACCTGAATACCGGATAATATTTCGTTCATGAGCCGCACGCGCTCGTCCGTCCGGAGCGCAGTTTTCAGTCGCAGTACTGACGTGCGTTTCCCCAAATATGCTGTCAAAGAAAACACATATTAATTAATAAATAAACATTTAATACCAGCTACCAGCGGCTGGTAGAAGATGGATCTAAAAAGTAGCCTATAGTATATTTATTCTAAACCTTATTTCTGTACAAATGGGGTCAGATTCGTTCAGCATTTTTTGCATGAAAGAGTAACAAACAAACATAGATACATCATCACAAACTTTCGGATTTATACAGGGTGTAAATGGAACGCTCCTGAAGAACACCAACAGATGACGGTCAAAAACGAGTTTTATTTCCATAAAAGTATAGAATTAAATGTTTCTTTTATGTAATAATAGTTGTAATCAACTGCTCAAGGTTGCATGAATAACACGAAAACAAACACGATTAAAATTGTAAAAAACATTTCATTTCTTTTTGTCAGTGTTTCGGAAGTGTTCCGTTCACACCCTGTAATATTAGTTACATTTGTAATATAATACGATAAGATATGGTCAATTTCATCAGCAACATTTTAAGATCACATTGAGACCTTCATTTACTGTTCTGCAATTAACAAACTGACAGACAATTCAATTGAAATAAACGCTTTCAGATTAACTGTGATCTTTACTGCCTTGTTTGTTAAGCGGTTGTCAACAAAAGTATTGTATTGTTTGTTTTTTGTCCATCCGACAATTATTATCCGATCATTTTGTGGGGTGTAGTTTTTATCACACTATTAAAGTTAGAAATAATTCTAACTGGTATAAACCAGGAATATTATTTATCTTTTTATAGGTACTGTTATATGAAGTATAGGTATATAAGTTTTGTTGCTCTCGGTAGCACCAGAGCCAACTGATAGTAAATTAGTAAGCCGTCACCGTAGCTTTAGTACACCTACGTCATTTGAGTGTAGAGGTATCACAAGACAGTAACCGAACACCGTACACTGCTTAATCAAGCCACCCTTTCAGTCATTACCCCCGAAAACGATAGCGGGGTCAAATGTGAAGGGCATCCAGAAGACCCATCTAGAGCCAGAACTTAAGCTCTACCACCGTTAAAGTAATGAGTATAGAAATAATATCTTAATATTGTCATTTCATGGTATACTAGACACAGACGAACAGAGAATCCGAACGCCACATTCGTCACAAACAAAAATAGACTTTATTTTATGATATATGCAAATGTTATTCATTCAAGCTAAGGGTGATAAAGCAATTTTATAGTCTGCTATACAATGGTACCAGGATAGTGACGCAGAGGAAGCCTAAATATGGCCGACGTCGCAAGGCCAATTTTAAGAAATAATTGTCACTATATGCTAAGTCTGGTTACATTTAGGATATCTGTGTGGGAGGTCTACCGGAACCTTATTTAAAAGGGGAAATATGTTTTAGATTGTATATTCATGAACTAGAGAACCAGGTACCTTTGTAATCCTACAACTTGTACAGGAACTTTTTCTAATTAGAGCAAAAAAGTAGAAAGAAAATAATATATGACATCAACAGGAAAATTATGGGGAAGTTCCTCGTAGGAAATGTTTATTTTAAAAGTTAGTATCTTTATAATTAATAAAAATACTGTCCATAGATTTCCGTGTTTACAATTTATTGGTTTAATAGTCGATACTTGAAGAGAAGCTCTATTACCAAGAGAACAACAAAAGGACACAAAACAAACGTGACCTATTTGTTTTGGTCACGCGCATGTCAAACGATTATGACTTTTATTCCTTCGCTTTTACGGTGGTAATAAAAATTCGTATAATTCTCTCGTTACCATAACCGAAGGACTTTGCATTATGCGAGCTATACAGAGTATTTTGAACGTGGAAAATTGTTTACTAACTTTGGGCAAGAATGTCGGTCAACTAATTAGTTGAATAGTGTTTTACTTGGAAAAATAATATCTTTTATTATTCTGGTAATGTATGGTAATATACCCGTACTGTTTAACGGTTCCTATGTCATTATTAAAAATGTCTACTTAAACCTTTTCTGTTTTCAATGATTTGTTTTTAAAACTGCATCACATGTTAAGAGTGACTTAAATAAAAAATGCCTTAAATGTTTAGCTCAAATTTTCCACATAGCCTTGTAGTGTTATAGTATGGCGACAATAGTAACATTTGTTAGCAAATAGGAAACTTAGATTTTATATGTAAAATGTGCTGGCAGCTAACAATAGTTTTGTAGTATATTAGCTGCGACATTATTCAACCTTGGAATCAAGACTATTTTAAAAAAAACTATTGACTATCGCGACCATTCCAATGAACGACAAGTACAAGTTTATTTAAATTTTAATTACCAAACAAGTCAGCACGTATGTAACATAATAGGGATGATGACAGGGTTTTTTTTTTAAGGGGGGAAAATCATCGAATGATTGCTCCCGCCTGGGTGAGGCGGGAGGGAGTGTCAGACTCTTACTGACTAAAAACATGATGAATGATGACAGGGTATGAGAATTAAAAATATAATTAGTCTGTCAATTAGGTAGGGAAAAAATATTAGACACGTATTTTTTATTTTGATGTATAATAAAATGATTCTTAGATATAACGAATCAAAGTTCAGAGTGGAGGCTAATTTCTACGTATAAAATGTACATAGAAGTGACGTCACGCGACATTTCAAATCAATATATCGTCGAAAGTATTCGTATCTGTAAAAAATAAAAAATATGTGTCTAATAATTTGAAATAATCTACCAGACGGACATTAAAATAAAAATTAGTCATCTACCTACATTATAATATTTATTTCGACTTGGAAAAACCGATTGATAAATAGTACTTGTAGTTAACGTTTTAAAAACCACCGAAATCAAACCTAATGATTTAAAGTTTACAGTAAAAATTGTTTATAATAAATTGAAAGATTCGCAACTAGAACACGGTCGTAATTAAAAAAATATTTTAAAAACCTAAGCAGTTGGTTTAAGAATATAAATAAACGTTACTGAAAGTTTATTCAATTTGACCTATTTTTAATGATGAAGTTTTCGCGTGGTCAAACGTCAAACACGTGTACACATAGCTCAATAGATCTTGACACTTGTGACGTCACGTAACTACTTACGTAGTAGTACAAAAATTAGATGACCTACGTCATACACATTCACACCTTTTAGTTTCGTAACAAGTCTTTGGTATTATGAAACTATGTTACTATACGTTTTTATAATAATTATCGTCAAACATGGTCAATTAACTAAAAAATAGGAGTATTCACGTAAATATACTGAGAAACGTTCTACTAGTAGACTATGCGACATCGCCGCGACCGCACACGCTGCTCATGAGGAAGAGTCCCTCTGTGACTCGAAATTAGTAGAGGTTTTCTCAGAATATTTACGTCTCGTAATTTTTAGTTAATGTTACTCTACTGACATTTAATGTGAATGATGTGCGGAAATAGCATTTTATAGTGACATAATTTAGATGAGGCCGGCATTTCCTATCTAACTACTCTGAGAGTAAATACCAAAACAAACTCAGAAGTCAATTACATGAAAGTATTTTTATTGTATCGGAAAACAAGCTTGTGTTGTGTTGTAGAAAGTTAAAAGTGCAACATAAATTCTGTTTGTCAGCTAGTCGCCAGATAATTGTGGGCTCTTTTTTTGCGAAAAACACTCTTAATTAGGGCTTAGGGTATCACGAGAATCCTCTTGGTTACTTGATAGACTATTTACTTCTGTCTGACTCATTAAATTATACAATACGGATAATAACATGACATGACGCCTTTTATCTCCGATGGGGTAGGCAGAGGCGCACATTACGGCACTCAATACCACTGTACAATGTAACTCCCACTTACTACGTAAAATATCAATCTATCTATTCGAAAAAATCTCTACTAGTTTCATGTCCCACCAGGGCTCATAATAAAGCCGTATATTTCATTAAAATTAGAATATTAAAATACCTTACCTTGTAAAGGTATGAATGCCAACATGAATCCAACGCCGACCACCGCTGCCCAGCTGATTTCCACCCACATAAAGTAAGTGATAATGACAGTAGCTAGCGGTCCAATCCACAGATAATGTAAGAAGATGATGGCCACGTCGAATCTGTTCACATCGTTTGAAAGGAGGTTCACTACTTGGCCCACTGTCGTCTCACCAAGCGCCGTCTTTGATAGCCGTAGTGACTGTAAAAGAAAAAGGGATTTTGAATAAAAAAAGTATTGTACGTTTTGGGTTTCTAATTGTTACGTAGACTTGAATAGTATAAAAAGTGTAGAATTTAGGGCCTCTGGATATTCGCTATATATCAGAAAAAGAATTGAAAACGTAATTTGTATGAACTATATCTGTCACATAAGTTTATCGGGTACTTAATATGTGAAGGTGGTGCAAACAGATGAAGGCTTTTCTCAGAAGCGACAGGCAGAAATCAAGTAATTCATTAATAAAACCAACGATATGTACAACTACTTAACATAATTTTATATGCCTATCGAAAAACCAGTTATGTATTATGTTAGATGCAAATGAAAAAATATTGCATTGTGTCGGCAGATAAATAAAAAATATGATAGGTAGGCGAAACTATGCAAAAAAATATTGTCTTAAAAAAGAAATCTTTGAATTCTAAAGTGCGTTATCTGTTATGAAGCACCAACGTTTGAAGTACATATTATTAGTGAATCCAATTATTTAATTTAAAACGCAATATGTATTATTTATACAAAAAAAATTAAAAGATAGTAAAAATCGGTCCCAAACAAAGCTCAAGAAAACTGAAAAGCGCACATAAACACAATCATATATTTTTTTTAATTATCTTTTTTTATATATTGTAAAGAATAGAACAAAGTATCGTATGAAGTGAGTTAATGTCAAGGTGATAAAAATTTAGATGTTTAGCGAACCGCAAAGATTCTCAAGGTGAATATCTCCCATGTTTAACTGAAACTATTTTAGTCCGTTATGCGAATCTGGTGTAACTAAGGAACCTCTAGGTAAATGTATTTAGTTTATATTCATACGCCTATTATATTCCTGAGAAATTCTCTAAAATAAATCGCTATAACATAAAAAAGGCTAAGGTTCGAAGAAATAACCTGTCTATGGGACCCCAGCGTGGCTTGAAACTTGTCGAGTCACCTTGTAAACCGTTAACAACTAAATCTTTAGGATTTCGAAGGCAAGAAGTCGACACTCAACCAACGAACTGTTTTGTTTGAAAGTAATCTCGAGTAAAAAAATACACAAAATATTATCTAGATATTAAGTGTAAATTGAAAATAATGGTTTATTGTTTCATTGTTCTAAGGTTTAATAGATAATTAGGTCAATAAAGTTCATCTTTGATTGAGGAAATAACTTTAATTACAGTAATTAGTTATACATTTATTTATTACCCGAATCAAAAAGATTGATTAAGATTCTGATCGATAGTTAATATTTGTACATTTTATGTCATCTGTCACCGCTAAGTTTAAGACAGTAAAACTCCATGTAGTTTGAGTATTTTTTTAAATAATTTTAGGAAGATATCTAATTATTATTCAATCGTAGACAATAATGTAAAATTAATTAAAATTACGAGGTTTATTGACCATGTAAATCCGATGTTAAACCGTAACCTTGTTATTTGAATAATGGAAGGTTCACAATAAAAATACCATTTATAATTTATTTTCGAAATTATTCTGTAATGGAGTCTCTTTATTGCACTCCGAGTAATTGGGATGATGACAGGGTATGAAAATTAAAAATCTAATTAGTCCGTAAATTAGGTAATGAAAAAATATTAGACACGTATTTTTTATTTTGTCGTATAATAAAACAATACTTAGATAAAACGAATCAGAGTTTAGGAGTGAGGGCTAAAACGTCATTTCTACGTATAAAATGTACATAGAAGTAACGTTACGTGACATTTCAAAAGAATATATCGTCGAAAGTATTCGTTTCTGTAAGAAAATAAAAAATACGTGTCTAATGATTTAAAATAATGTACCAGACGGACATTAAAATAAAAATTAGGCATCTACCCTATTCAGTTTATAACATACCTAAGTTTATTACGTACAGGGTTTGCGAATGTCCGTACATTAGTAAGGACACCTTCGGGGTGTGCCTAACTCTTCGGAAAATACCAGGGCTGACTAACATACTGCACTATAAGTATATAGATTCTTCGTAGCAGAATGAATTCGGTCAACCTAATTGACATTTAAGAACAATTTATTGTCATAACAACATCTGTTAACAGTGGGTGGTCTGTGACATTTGGATGTGTGCGTGTGTTGTAATCTGTCGTGTCAAAACACCACTTAATGACTAGAAAAAAAAATGTGTATTAGGTAGCTACAGTCATAATGAAAAATATACAACAAAATATGAATAACGGATAAAACACACGAAACGTTGGTAAACTTACTAATTGGGTACTTGTCAACTTGTAAAATTCAATTCTTTTTTCGAACTGCCAAAAACGGCAGTTTTCTATTAATTTTAAACGAGATTGTGTATTGTGATGTTACGTTTTTTTAGCGTCAAACAGTACACTAAATTCTTAAAAATTTGCTAGAAAAATACTAAAATTAAGTCGGTCATATGGAGTTTCTTGCTCGTTCTTCTCCATAGGAATCTACGCCTTGGAATGAGCAAATAGCTTCACTTTCAATTTTTTTTTGTTGACGTTCAAAAGTGCCATTCTGGCCTAATTGAAATAAATGATTTTGACTTTGACTTTGACATAAAATCAATTAAACTGTCAAACACCAAGCGGTCACCGGTGACCGCAACCTATTGTTCTATAATCGTGTCTATAATGACGGTACTCGACGAGTTAAAGAGAGAGAGAGATATTATTTTTTAACATTTTATTGTACTGGACAGTCGAAATAATTTATTTTTGATTAACACCTTGAACGCCATGGGGGACAAGGTATGGGCCACGATAGCGGAGGATTTACCTTCAACAGTTTTCTGTCGGCAGTCAAACTGTTAAGGAAAGTACCCAATTTGCTAACACATGTAATGCAAAACAATGCATAGCAGAAAACACTTGGCGAAGAAATTAACTATTTTAAAAAATTGAAATTGGAACTGTAAACATTTGAATGAATTACTGGTCAAATAATTAACTGCGAAAATATCATACCTTTCTGTATATAAGTGAGCAGCAGGCGACACGGAACTTCATGCCCATATGCAATATGGCCATCATGTAGGGATGCACGACGAACACGTTGAGCGCTGAGCACGCCACCACCGCGGCCGCATACATGTACGCTTCCTTCGGCTTCATCGAGTGTCCAGGACTGTAGAACTCCACCAACTTGCCCAGGAACACTGGCTGTGCAATCCTGGTTTTGTAATCACATTGTATTTATAATTAATTAAATTAATTTAGAGTATACTTTTGGTTAATCAACATATTTTGGTTTAGACACTGACAATTCCCTTAGTTATACCCAGACGAGGTAATACAATGTTCGAGGCACTCGCAAGTTTGTAGGTAATGCAATGTATAAAATGCAAACATGCATATTTTCCGTTTAGATTAGCTTTGTTTCCGTAAACAATGGAAAAAAATAAAAGTAAAATATTCTACTTGGGATGTAGCTAAATCTTTGTATAATGTAAATATGCCGTGCACACTATTTATTTACTTACAACATTCTCACGGTGCCTCAAGTAAATTGTTTAAAATTCCAGTTATAATTAAGTGTCTTCGTCTCAAAAAAACTAGACGAATCTAATTACTGAATCAGATAAGTCAGTCAATGTGTCATTGAGATAAGATTAATCTCCTTCTCACTTAATTATCTACATATTTCACTAATCTATAGGAGGTGATGCTATGGAAAACTTTATTTTTCACGTCATGCAGCAATAGGCTTAACAAGGATTATATGGCACCTAAAATAAAAATGTAAATTTCAAGAAGCTTCCACCAGTGCCTTCCCCGATGTCGCTCGGATAAAAGTGATCTAGGGGTTCCTAATTTAATCTGTGCCCACTTTAATCCAGACCCGTTTTTATATGACCTTTCATAATCACATAATTAGTATCTACCTACTGTAATATGTTTTAATTTGTTTGCCCGCAATTGTCTACCGAGTACTTGTATTGTCTACCAAGTTATCAAAATCAAACAATTTCTGACGAATTACAATTAACAAAGTGGATTTCCCCTACAGATATTTACTTGTGTTACACCACTTAGATTTGTTTGTATGTAAACTGACGATACTACTAATTGAGTAACTTACTTGCCTCACATCGATAAGGAAAATGACAATTATTATATTTTTATCCGTAAAAAACCAGGTAAAATACTTATCCATTAAGTTTTTCCTATCTCTATCCTAAGGGCGTGTATAACCATTGCAATTAAAAAGAAACTGCAAATTGCTAGAGCAGACTTAAAATTAAATACAAAAACATATTTGTACATAGTCTAACTAACAAAAGTACTACAATAAAAAAGACGCCTCGAACTCTGAATACCATTCAATTGAAACGCTAAAAAACTTACTACTTCATGGAAAAATACTTGAACACTAAACTTTTTGCGCTACATGCAATAACTAAAGCTACATATTTTATACCTCTAATTAAAACTACGGATTCTTTTCTGTATCGAAAGATAATACAAATAAAAAAATGAAGTTCAATGTACTTATCAGACAGCATACCAAGCTAACCTATCTGAGTAACTTCTTCAACGAGTTTGACATACAAGTAAAAAATAGCACTCTAGGGTTAGCTTGATACACTGAAATCTATACATATCTACAAGTCATAAATCTACGAAAAATCCATAGTGGATCTACTAGAGCTCAGCTCGAGGTCTACTTCAGCTCACTTGTCAGTGCTATTGAAATCGTTGGCCACCTGATCGCGTAATGCAGTCAGCCGAAAGTGCATCTCCTCTCGAATGGACTGCCCGAAGTAGCCAATGAAGGAACCCATCATGCGAGGCTGTTGGATTCTGGTGGAGGAAGGAATTGTTAGGACATGGAAAGAGATTTAGGAGTATAGGTATCGGGTATGTTATGTCCTGCTGCAAAAACCTACGCATTTGTTACTGTGCAACATTAAGTTTTAATTACTGCATAAAGGTCTCCATTATTTTTGCCAAGGACAATTTTGTGAGCCAAGCATAGCGTTAGTGTCTGGCTAAGCATTAATAATGATAGGTGTCACATTGCTAGGCCCTCTTCGTATTTTGCCAAGGACTTTTCGAGCGTCAAGCATTACTGCATTAGCATCTAAAATAACTAAACACCACTTTTTAGCAATCGAAGGCCTATAAAATAGGTCCTGGTTTTATTCCGAATATCAGGATATGAATGGCTATTGTTGAAATTGTTTGATTTGGAATGAAATGACTGAAATATCAACAAATCGGACATTTAGTTTCTCATAATAATTAACATTAGTTAAAAAATGTAGCTGTTGCGAAGATTAGGTATCTAGTACGTACCGTTGCAGAAAGAATAAAAACAGACAATAAATCAAGTATTATACAATAACTGTATAATATTTATTGACACTTAAGCTGATAAGTGCTCATATTGTTGCTTCTATCACCATGCAATACTAATTGTAAATAGTTGTACAGTCACGTACAAAATGACATTAACTGCTAGAATGTGTATTTGTTACAATCCTAGACTAAACCGACCAATGACAATGAATCAATGTCTAAAACGCAAACGTCAAACGACGAAAACAAGTCTAAAATGTATATGTCTGGCTTAATTTTACAAATGTCAATGTCATTTCTATCACTCGTTCGGATAGCGTTTAAAATTTTAAATCCTATTTGTATAAGGAGGCTGAGGATAGAAAATATGAGATACCAAAATCTATAGACAGTTATCTGAAATTCACAAGAATCAAAATAAATTGAAATGTTGTTGTAAAATTTTTAGACACGACTGTACAGATTTCTTTACATTCAACACATAAGTGTTATCTTATCTGGAAAAATATTGAAGATAATATCTATATATTTAAACTACTGTGTAATAATAACTCATAATACGATTAGAGCTGATGTCGATTGCCATGATAAGACTCGTCTCGTCATAATAGGTATTATGTCAATCAGATTGTAAATCATTACTTACTTCATCTCCGTAAATTGATTGGTGATAAATAACATATTTGATCTTGGATGTTACTCTTTTAAATTGTTTTAATCAGTCAGTTTGTTTTCTGTACCCAATGTTGCTAATAATAACAGAATTAGGTCAATGTTTCAAAGACATTATCATATTATCCTGTTTTTTTAAGGGGCGAAAATCATTGAATGACTGCTTTCCCCTGGGTGAGGCGGGAGGGAGTGTCAGACTCTTCCTGACTAAAAACCACCCCGTTCCTTCTCCTGCACGTCGAGCCAGAGCGGTAACCCGTTAGTTTCTCCGCAACACATTATCTTATTATGAGTCTTATTTGTTATAAAATATTTATAATATGTAGATTTTATTTAATTCTGCAATTGACAAGAATGTGTTCGTTGAAGTGTGTTAGGTAAGTTATTAGATGATTTCATCTGACATCTGCAGCATTTGAAAAAAAAAAATAAAGCAGGAGAATCCACTATTACTTATTCATTGTTTTTTTTTCAAAAGCAATTGTCGATAAAGCTTGCCAAAAATGTCAGACAGTTAGACTACACGTCCTTGACATCATTTTTAATATGATTAAAATAGAATTCAAATAAAAATAACTTGTCCTTGGTCGTATTGGGAAAAACAAGTCTTGGCGGCTTTAGGCAGTTTTTCTCTGTAGTAAATAGGTATCATAAAATGCTGAATACGAGAGAAACTAACATCGTCAATCACTTGGTGAATAATATAGAAAAAAAGGTTGGACTTCAGCCAAAAATAAAATGTAAGAAGCCATACTTACTGTTACCTAACATTTGCTACGTCTGTCTATCCTACTTACTCAACGATGAATCTTCACCAGTTTTGTTAGAAGTCACATTATACTTAAAAGTATTTTCATCAAGGGAACCAAAGTAAACCATTTAGCATGAATATGAAACACCTTTACTTATATACTTTATTAAACATATAAATATAACATAACATAATATTACGCCTTTTTACGTGATATTATGCGAGAGGTGCACATTTCGGCACTTAATGCCACTGTACAAT